TTTCCATATAAAATGAAAATGAAATATAATAGGAAATACCACTGGAACTTGCAACTTGAATCGATTACCTTTCAATGTAAACTCCCACTTAGTCTTCTAACCAATATTGCATCACTATTAGAAATCTCATTGATATTAACCTGCAATATTATTATGCACTGTAATTACATACAGAGCCTGATGCAAGTCTTGACCCACACCATAGTTTTATTTTTAGTACCGGTATCCAATCAAAATGTGCCAGGAGAAATGTCAATTTCACATAATTTGACAATGAGCTAAATATAGTTACAATCACTAAATCTATAATTATTTAATTATATATAGCATTAATTAACCAAAATATAAAAAAAAATTAAATATGGCATGAATACTCATGCTAGAAATAACTAATCAGAGTTACAACGATAAAGGCAGTTGTAGGACACAAACGTTTAATAACATGTGTATCAGGTCTTCATTTTTCTTTGCCCGCCAACTGTAAGAAAAATGAAGGTCTGGGCACAGGTTATAATCCTATGTAAACAGAGATGAAATTTGCCTCACTAAAGCAAGCTGTCAAGTTTGGTATTGGGGCTGGTTTGCCTCCAGACAAGCAAACCTCTCTTACTCGGTAAAGACGGTAAATTGTCAAACTACCTCATCCCCCCCCCCCCTCCCTGCTGGTATAAGCAATAGTATTTATAAATAGACACAAACTTTAATTATTATGTTAATACAAACAAATCTGCATTAACTGTAGGGCCCATTTTCCACTTTATATACTTCTTGAACTGAACAATGAACTACAATGTAAAATATAGATAAATTTCACTTACTTTAGAGCCCTCAGTTCGAGTTTCACATAGTGGGCATCTCACAGTATAAATATACTTCAATTCTTGTACTCAGATGAAAGATTAGATTCATTCCCAGCCTTGGTAATTAATTCGGTAATTTGTTCTCCGTTTTCTCCGTCAATTTCGAGAAATATTTCTTCCCATTATTTGTCTCATAACCATTTGCATATAGTGTTTGCATATCCTTGCCGCCATGCCATGACTTCATTGACTTGAATCGAATGCCTCGTTACGTCACAGTAGATTTTGATTTTGCAATTTGCATCAGTGAACTGATGCGAGCGCCCGCAATCTGCATGCGATGCGTCGCTCAGCGGACAAATCTACCATGACGTAGGGCTCTAAAACAATTGATTTGATGATGTCACAGTAGATTTCACGCGGAAAAGGACTCGGGACCGATGCATTCACTGATGCAAAATGGCTGAAAATCGATGCAAACCAAATCTACCGTGACGTAGGTGATGCATCAGATTTCTACTGTGACGTCAAAGGATGCGGTAAAAAATAACATATTTTGCCGCGAAATTATTGACGCTTAAGTGTCGCAAAATAAAAAGTAAATAACAAAAAGTACACATTTGCGATCGCACGTCGCATATTGGACTTATTTTGACAATTTCGACTGTTATTGAGACTATTTAAATTGGATTTCATCCTAAATAGTGTATTCCTGACAAGGAGTCAAGTTTAAGCAAATATTTGCGGTTTGATAGCTGGAGAGTTTCAAAGATATTCTATTACTGAGTGCTTGACCAAGTATAATATGTCTATATATTATTTCAAGCAACATGATTTCTCAATTTTGACCGATGCATTCGCATCGTTGGCATCGGTCTGGATCCCCCCCTGCCAGCAAGTCAGTTCACAATAGCAACCATGCAGTACGAATGTTGACGAACACCTGCCCTATTGACAACTTTCTTAGCATATTTTACGTTTTAATGAACGATTTCAATGCTTTTACACTCAACTTCGTGATTTAGTTGACAGTTATGCTTCAGTGCTCATCAAGATTAAACATTTGTTTGACCAAGGACATTATGCAGATGGAAAACTTTGTTGGATCTCGATTTTCCAAGGGCGATTTCCTTTAAATTTACCGACTCTTGATTTGTGGGGCAACGAAGAAGATATGTTCATTTCACGGCTACAACCAACCATTATGTCCAAGTATTCTGGAACATGCAGTTCGCATGCGTGCCCATGGCCAACAAAGGATTTCGTTTCCTATTCAATTGCATTAAGGTTCAGTGTATGCTTCATATTTGTTTAATATTCTGCATTTGGGGCAATTTTCCTTGGTATCATTGTAAACATTTGCACTGCAAAAAATAATTTTGAAACAAACCCGATGATGCTTTATATTTTAAAAAAGTGAAAATTGAATTATTGAATGGATGTGTATGCAAACGTTAACAGTATTTTATATTAAAAAATATATTTACTTAATAGTTTTGTAAACTGTCTTCTAAATCTTAGTTTTGTATAGTGATGTTGGAATCCCCTCCCCCCCTTCATTGCTGCAGTCTTCTCTTGATGATTGGATGGCTACAGACACCAAGCAGTCTACATGTGGCGTGGCAATATATCAAATTGTTCCTGGAACACCGCATTATTTGGGTTTGGTGAATCACATCCCCGAAACCTCTGGGCAAATAGTGTAAGTCTAGCGTGAAACTAAATTATACAACAATACTTTTATATTAATACTTATATCAAGAGTATTGTTTTAATATAATTATTGCCTGTGAATACCGCGTGCAACGCCCCGCTGTTTATAATTTAAATTTTAATACTTGTCTTTATCTTCGCAGGCAGAAGTATCAGTATTATTGTGGCGGGAAAAGAACTTTAACAAAACGAGAATTTGCCGTTGATATTCCTCTATTTCTCCCAATATCATTGGAATTTCTTTGCCACGAAGGGGATTGTCACAGATGCCACACAGATACCAGTTTCTGTGATAGTGACAGGAGAAAGGTATATACATATCTGATAAATACCAAAAAATGCATGATTTTCCTCGCCGAGTGCTGGGGTTTCGGTGGCGTAGTGGAAAGCGCGCTTGCATGTCTAGAAATCAAAACCCACTCGATTTGATCCCCTAATCTCTTGACTATTTTCTGAGTTTAAAAAGCTTAATGAGAACATATTTCTCACAAACGCACATATATTGTATATATAGTACATATATAGTACATGCCTCGTGAAGGTAGCGCAGCATTGAGGTATTTCTATATATACTGATATAAATCAAAGTATAATATTCCAATCTATCAAGCTTTTATAATTTGACGGGCATGACATTTTTTAATGGTCAACACTATTGTGGAGCAGTCAAGAGATCTGATGAGGCCTGATATCAGTATGATGGCCTGTGGGAACGAAATTGTCCTGGCACTGGCCTTCAAAAAAGAGCACTGTCAACCCCTGCTGGATATATCCCTTCTAGCTGCTTCTACGTCCATCCCAAATTCGTATAATCTGGTAAAATCCCAGGAGCCCAATTTATGGCCTATTAAATGCGTTTTATATACGACGACGTTCATATAGATCAAATTTATTATATAATATGTACACCATTTTTGCAATGCTCGTTAATTTGTGATTTATCGTGAATTTGCATAGCCTCTGTAGGCAAAGTCGTCAAAATTAAATAAAACCCATTGAGAGCCATAAGTTGGGTCCTTTGTGGTAAAACATTTCATTGTATATAGCTATATTACCATGTTCAAACAGTGCCTTTCATGCGCTCAGTTTAAAATATGAAGGTGCAAAATTGCCAAAACTTTAAATGCTAAATTGTAACTGGAAATGCTAAATTGGCATTTCCAGATTTTCGTTTTCTAATATTTTATAACAAAAATAAAAATATTTGACAGATCCTGCTATGCTTTCATCTCAATTTGCTGAAAGTCTAAGAACTGTCAAATATTACATTGGTCATTGTACAGTTTTAAAGTATGCATATTAAAATATGTATATTTAATACATATAATGATTATATTGATTTTGAAAGTTGAGAGAGAAAAAATATCGTGCAAGGACACAGAGGCAATAAAAAAATATCCTGCTTGTCTGAAGGACGGAAAAAAATCGAGCAGTGTGGAAAATGCACAAACCCCCATCAAAAATCTAATGGTCCGGCCCTAAAGATGGACAAAATGTTAAATACTTAGCCTTTGCTTTTTTGCTAATTTTAGCAAATTTATTTTATTAGGAACAAAATGAGCAACTATAAAGAGAAGAGGCGAACAAAGACCGAGGTTGTGGTGTGAGAATTCCTAATTCTTTTTATCTTTTCCCTGTATCAGAATCTGAAAAAGTGGATGAAATTTCAACTCTAAATGAAAGTAAGGCCACTGGACCTTTTAGTATTCCCACCAAAATTTTAAAGCTTCTAAAATTTTTAATCTCTAAACCACTGGAGAGTTATTTAATTTTTCATTTTCTTCAGGTACGGTACCAAGCCAATTTAAACTAGGCAGAGTACTTCCTGTCTTCAAAAAGGGAACTCAAACTTTGTGTGAAAATTATCGACCAATTTCTTTACTAAGTATTTTTAATCGTATTTTAGAAAGGTTAATGTACAAAAGACTAATTAGTTACTTTGAGAAGTTTAATATTCTTTACAGCAAACAGTTCGGATTTCGAGAAAACACTCTAGAGAACATGCTATTTTTTCCATTATAGATAAAATCGAACATGCTGTCGAGGATAGAAAATTCTCATGTGGCATTTTCCTAGATCTAAGCAAAGCATTTGATACTGTAAACCATTCAATCCTGCTACAAAAACTTGAGCATTATGACATACGAGGAGTCGCATATGACTGGTTCGTTTCTTATTTAACTGAACGTAAACAATTTGTTTCAATTGGTCAGAAATGTTCAAGCCATCTTATTAATCCATGTGGAGTTCCTCAAGGTTCAGTTCTGGGTCCCTTGTTGTTTCTATTGTACGTTAATGATATTAGTCAAAGCTCTAAAATTTTTTATATTCATCTATTTGCTGATGACTCTAACCTTTTCTATGCTAGTAAGAGTTTATTGGAACTTGAATCTTTAATTAATGCCGAACTCAAGCTAGTGGACAGCTGGCTATGTTCTAATAAACTCTCCATAAATATAAGTAAATCCAGTTTTGTGATATTTCATCCTAACCAAAAAAGCCGCCATTTTCGGTACAACTCACAATCTGCGACCAATCTATTAAGGAAATGAAATTTATCCAATATCTTGGAGTTATCATAGATAGCAATCTCAAATGCAAAGAACATGTTAATTATTTAACGAAAAATATTTCAAAAATGTTGGACTGCTTTCTAAAGTAAGATATTTTGTTGATCAAGCAAGTCTTGTTAGCCTATATTATGCTCTAGTTTATCCATACTTTACCTATTCTTTAATTGCATGGGGGCATACTTACAAAACAATTATAGATCCTTTAATTGTACTACAAAAACGTGCCATACGAATCATCACATTCTCATCCTACTGTGACCATAGTAGTCCTCTCTTTAAATGTTTAAATCTCATCAAATTACAAGATCTAGTCAATATTTGCACTGCTGTTCTTATGTTTAAGTTTCACAACTCTCTCCCGCCTTCTACATTTAACCTCTTTTTTGTGCCTGTTGACCAATTACATAATTATAGTACATGGTTATCATCTAACCAATCTTATTCTCTTCCTAAACCAAGAACAAATTATAGTATGTTTAATATTAGATTTCAAGGGCTTAAAATATGGAATTCTATTGATAGTAAAATCAAGACCTCATCTCTGGCTTTTCTAAAAAAAAAAAATTTTCATTTATCGAAAGCTACTAAACGATAGTAGCTTGTGCACACTTTATTATTAATTAACTTAAAAATTGTTTCTCTATTTGTGTATTTGTGTTTTCGTGTTTTTTTGTTTTTTGTTGAGTTAGTATTCTGTACACTATTCCGACTGACCGAAAAAACTTATTTACTAGTCCAAGGACTTTTATTGTCTCTGAGTATTTGGTTGCCTAGCTTGGTATGCCCGTATGGTTTTTCTAGGTTTTTACCAATACCAACCTAGTCAATCTAAAAAAAACCCAACATATGTATGTGTGTGTATGTGTATGTATATATGCGTATATGCATATAATGTATGCATATATATATATGCATATTGTAAATAATTTTTATGGTTGGAATAAAAATTGTTGTTGTTGTTGTTGACTGTCAGTAAAGGGGAGACGCATTTTCAATCAGTTGGTAGACATCGAAGGTGTAGAATGGGATTGGTCGACGCGAAATAAAAAGTAGTATGCAGCACATGCTACCATGAAGATACATTTCAACGGCAACACGGGAAAACGAAATCTCATATAGGCAGGTGAAACAATCTGAAATCAATATCGTTTCAAAACATAGTGTTGGTTGATACAAGCGTTAAAAGGCTGCTTTCCAGAGAAGCGTTTTTCATACGTGCGTGTACAGCAAATTCGATTAATGAATTTATGTTGGCAGACAACTTTCTGCATGCAACGTTAAAAAGTTCAAAAATCCAATAAATTCTGGAGAGTTTGCTTTAGAATTGGATTAGACGTGCGAAAAAACTACGAAGTAGGTGAAACTATGGGAATTCGTAAATTATAAATCGTTTTTGGGCGCCATACCAAAACGGCTGGTGGGACGTAGCAATCGTGACTATGCCGTATCGTAAGTATGAGTTACATATTAATGCGCTGGAAAGTATTGTTCAAAATCCCGCTTACTATATTTGGAAATATAATATGGATTATAGTTAAAAATAGTTAAAATGCAATTTTCATACTAATTGCATTCTTCTTACCGTGGATACAGTATCGAAATAATATGGATATACTATGGATTTAGTGATGCAATTACAAATTCTATAATATGTATTTCCATAATATTTTATCCAGTGTTGTATTCAAATCTATTTATCCAACTTGCGCTTCGCGTTGCAGAGGCCAAGACTTTAAATCCGTTCAAAAATAACATATGAAATAACTAAATGAATAAAAGGACAGAATTTAGTTTTGCCTCAGAAATAATTTGCGTTTGAGAAATTCGTAGCAGTGTATAATTTGGAAAGGTTTGAAGAAGCTGTCATGTTTCTGCTTTATTAATTTCTTTTGAAATCAATTGTTTTTATGGTATGTGAACACGAATATACGAATATCCCCCCCCCAATTATCGTTCTGGCTACGCCACTAGCGCGTGTTTTGTTTACGATCTGTGTACATTTTTTGTTTGAAACAATAGATAATTTAATTAAAATTCCGATCTGTGGACTCACTTGTTTGAAACAAAAAATGTAAACAAAACACGCGCATGAGCAAACGGACTTGACAGCCTCATTTATACTTTTCTATGTGTACACTCGATATAGTTTTTTAAAAATGTAAAATTCACAATTTAGATCAGTAATTTTGGACAATTATTAATTGTTGAAAAACAAAAAGTACCTTATTGATGTACAACGACATATAAACCAGGGCCGTCGCTATACGGTGTATGTGTGGGGTGTGACACCCCACTGACAACATCTTGTCGGCAAAATAACGGATTTATCGGCAAATTGTTTTCGTAGTTATCAAAAATATTCGAGTGGCTCTATAACAAACATACTTGCAAACGTACTCACCGAACTTGCAAGTACGTTTGGTTTTTATCCCATACACCGAATCATACACACAATTGTAGCTGCTCGCGATATATTCGTCGATGTTTTGTCAACATTTTTCCGGCCAAAAAAATCACTGGGCAAGAAAATAATTCTTTATCTACATCTAGATTACCTTCATTGCATTTTTTCTTTGGTTTTTCTTCAGTCTCAGTATGTTAGTCACCGAAAAACTTTCTCTAAAGTTTTGGTTTATCGGCTAAATCTTGTCCGCCATATTTGTTATTGTTATTGCAACGTGAGTAGTTTCGCGGGTGAGTTCGGCGAAAAGCAAGTGAGTTCGGGCAAAAGCAGGTGAGCTTGACGACAAGCTCACCTGCTCTAGACCAATCAGAAAGCCGCTTTTAACACAGGTATGGGATAAGGATTGGAAAGTTATAGTAAGTTGTAGCAAAAATTTTGATAAATTGATGGAAATATTAGCGAAAAATTTAACAAATTGCGGTACATTATTTAGAAAGGTAGTAAAAAATGGTATGTGCGCAAATTTTTACCCCACCCCCTCCCCGCAATAATCACATTTAAATGATTTGAAACAGTTTGGATCTGTAGCATTTTTTTAAATTGTCAAAATAATCGAGTATACTTAAAAGAAATCATTTTATACAATAGAGCAATTAATTTTGGGAGTCGCCCATGTCGTTTACGTGTCAAATACACCTTGGTATCAGTGATCATAGTCTTGTTTATCTGTTTCGAAAGCTCAGCATTCCTAAGGCGCCACCAAAAACTGTCTTTACTAGACATTATAAAAATTATAATGTTAACCAGTTTAACAACGATCTAAGTGAGGTTTTTAGTTTGCCCTTGGATTCAGCTATTTTAACTGACCCAAATGCCTTATGGAACGATTTTAAAAATAAGTTTTTGAGCGTCGCAGATAAACATGCACCAATCAGACAACGTCGTGTCAAGAGTGAATATAAACCGTGGCTGACAAATGAAATTAAGCAAATGAGCTATCGTAGGGATTACCGTAAAAAGCAATCGATCAAATTAAGATCTGCGTATTATGATAAGGCTTACAAGAGATGTAAAAACAAGTTAAATAATCTCATAAAAGAAACTAAACAAGAATACTTTAGAGATAAACTAAGCAATGCTAAAAATAGCAAAGAAAGTTGGCGAACTATTAACGAATTATTAAACAAAAAGCCTAAAACTTTAGAGGTTAAAGAACTAGATATAAATGGCCAACTTATTACTGACGATGATAAAATTGCAGATGCCTTCAATCAATATTTTTCCACAATTGGCAGTACGTTGTCTGACAAGATCACAGGTAACTGCACTGATCCAATGAACTTTGTGACTCCTCTTGATGGTAGTATATTCAACTTTACAAGCATTACACTCCAAGAAACAATAGATGCACTCAATGAAATTAAAACTAAGAAATCTCCAGGGCTTGATGGTATTAGTATAAGGTTACTAAAAGATGCATCTAACATTGTGCCAGGACCACTAGTGAACATATTCAATGTATCCCTTCAAAGAGCAGTTTTCCCTAATGATTGGAAATTAGCAAAGGTGACCCCCATATTTAAAGAAGGAAATAAGGCAGACTGTTAAAATTATAGGCCAATATCTGTTATTTCAGCTGTCGAAAAACTGGTATACCTGCAGCTAAGTTCATTCTTGAGGTTGAATGGCATTCTTGTGGAACAGCAGTCTGGCTTCCGTCATCAACATTCTACTGAAACTACACTGCTTAGTTCTACAAATGAATGGTTGTTCAATATGGACAGAGGTTTACTTAGCGGAGTTTTATTTCTAGACCTTAAAAAAGCTTTTGATACTGTCGACCATCATATTCTTTTATCAAAGCTTGAATTATATGGTATTAAAGGAACTAGCCTGAAATGGTTCGAATCATACGTTTCTGGTCGAAGCCAAATATGCTCTGTGAATAGTAAGATGTCAGTTGTTAGACAAATAAAATGCGGGATACTTCAGGGCTCCAACCTTGGGCCTATTTTATTCCTATTATACATAAATGATCTTCCTAACTGTTTAGAGACAACTAAAGCAAATTTTTTGCTGATGACACAAGCCTTTCTTGTGAAGGGTTTAGTCCATATGAAATTGAGATCAAACTTAATAAAGACATTGAAAATGTTCATAGGTGGTTGACAGCTAACAAGCTCTCATTAAATATGAAAAAGAGTGAATTTATGATGATAGGATCAAGACGTCGCTTAGCTTCAATTGAAAATAGCCCAGTACTAACATTAGGGGGAAACAACATTAAGCGAGTTTACCAAAAAAAGTCACTAGGCATGATCCTTGACGACCAGCTAAAATGGAATAAACATAATGAAATGCAATGTAAAACAATTTCAAATAATATCGCCCTGCTGAAAAGAGCAAAATTGTTTGTCAATAGAGATAGTCTGATAAAAATCTACAATGCCTTAGTGTGGCCTCATTTCAATTATTGTTCAACAATCTGGATTGATGGATGTTGTTCGATAATTGATAAATTGTTTATACTGCAGAAGAGAGCAGCGCGTGTGATAACAGGGGACACATACGAGGTTCGTTCCATGCAAACGCTAGATAGTCTTAATTGGCTTCCAATAGAAGAACTTCTAAAACAACGACAGTTAATAATGACATTTAAAGTACTAACTGGTCGATTACCTCGATACCTTGAAAAATTGTTTTCAGTAAGTCAAAATGACAATTACAATCTAAGAAGCAATCAAATTAAATTGAACCTACCCACACCTAAAACAAATTTTCTCAAACGAAGTTTCTCGTATAGAGCTGCTAAGTCCTGGAACGAACTTCCAAGTGAAACTATTGAAAATTATAACGATCTTTCAATTTTGTCGTTTAAACGGCAATTACTTAATTCATCCGTTTCAATTCATTGTAAATAGTTATATTCTTTTTGTCCTTTTTATATTATTGTTGTAAACACACGGCCCTTTGAAAACCAGCGCTGTAAATATTATCTGCTGAACAGGCTACCGTGTTTAAATAATTTTATTAAAGATTAAAGATTAAAGCAAAAACAACCGCCATTTTGAAACGTCATTGTTGCCATTAGTAACCGCAGTTTCGTAACTTTCGTGAAAACATTCAAACCCTTTAGATGTTGTTTTACATCACTAAGATGTAAAAGATTTTTATTTCTCAACAAGTAAAGTTCTCCAAAAATACGGATCTATAAATCGTGAATTTTCCATTTTTAAAAAAACTATTTCGAGCCACCTTATATATGGAAAGCACGCCTTAGAAATTGTTGAAAATAAAAAATGCGTGTTTATATGGCCATTCAAGAGAGATAAAAAACAATGGAAAAACCAACTGGGACTACTTGGAAGGGGTTGGGGCCGCCTAACAGGATGGTCCGCTTAATTAATAGGTGGCTATTTTCTATTTTGGGGACTTTTATATCAGGTCGTTGATTGGAGGGTACGGTGGCCGTTTCATAGAAGTATAACATGAGTTCTAAGAACTTTAATTAATGAATTACAGATTTGAAAAATAACCATTATATGAATCACAGAAAAAATCATTTGCTGTATGTTTAATAATTAACAGCAATAAAAAGAACAAACTATTCTATCAATAACATGTATAAAACCCCAGTAGTATAAAATCATAGTTAATTAATTAAAAAGGCCTGAAAAGAAAGAAGCGGATTGATAGCGATGCAACTACCTGAGAATACAACTATACAAACAGAACTTCGACGTTTCGAGCGAAAGACCCTTCGTCGGGAAGTAAGTACCCTGGGTGCCAGAGGTTCTTCCACGCTCGTAAGGGGGATAATGAGGGATACACGAGGATTCATGCTGGGCGGCGGCGAGCGGGAAGAACCTCTGGAACACTTATATGGTTTCTCAGATCGAGCCGCACCAACAATGATGATGCTTAATAGTGTGAAGTGATCCAGAATCTGGATCACAGTGTTAATTGGTTAACGGCAGGGACTTGTTAAAACAATGAATTTCATTGGCTGTTTGAACCGTATGTCCTTCAAGATATTATCGTTCAGAATCCGTACAGGCATACGCTGTTGTTTAATATAATAACATTATATTTATAACATAGTCAGGCGTAAATATATATGCCTTTAGTTTTGCGAGAGGATTTCAACAACTCGGTCGCGGTTGATTCGATTTTGAAATTTTTTACTGGACGGTGTTACAAAACTCAATAAATATAAGATGATGCCTTGTTTCTGTGTTTCAGTTGATGCATCGCAGTGATATGTTTGCTATATTGCCAAGAAGGAATTTCGTGTGCGCGTCTGTCTAGTAATCAAGCATGTCAAGACAAGATGGGAGTCTTTATAGGCCTATTTATATCGAGGCGAATTACCCGACAAGTCGAGTTTATACTCGTCAACGACAAGATCCCGGCTATATTATAGAAACTTATAGTAAACCCGGGGGACTGTTTACATGACGATGCAACCGAATATAAACTCGCCAGTGACGAGTTCCCGGCAGAAAGAGGCGAGATATTGCCTTAGGCGAGATGAATACTTACCATATTAAACAAAAGATGTTCGGGTATTTGTTAACTCGGCCGTCCGAGATCGAATGTATGTATATAAATGTATGTGCTTTGCATTTGAAATATAATACTCAAATTATAATATATAAATTGCTCAAAAATTCATACGAATCATTAGATAAGTTTTATTCGCCAATTGCAGATAACTCGCCTCCATATAAACAGGGCCTTGGACGGCAAATATTCATTTGTATTTAATTAATATGATGAACAAGAAATGCTTCAAAGTTCAATCTACCGAGGCGACGATCCTTTTACTGTATATACTAAAATACCCACTGTGAATAACAAATTCACCACAAACTCGACAATACTCGTCTCCGCTTTTTTGTTAACACTTTTAACAGGCCGGGTGTACGGTCTAATGCCATGTGGCCATTTATTATTCGGTTTATTTTACTATATAAACGACTCGCTAATTTTAGTTTTTTGTTTTGAAATTGACACATTCTGTCGCAATTTCCATCGCTCAAATGTTCGGTTGAACACGTCCAAATCATCATCAGTCAAAAATAAGTACGTGTCCTATTGCCAAACGTTTGATTGACACGTGACAGTTAAAACAGTAAAAGCCATAGAAGTGTTCCAGAGGTTCTTCTCGCTCGCCGCCGCCCAGCTTGAATCCTCGTGTATCCCTCATTATCCCCCTTACGAGCGTGGAAGAACCTCTGGCACTCAGGGTAGGAAGTAAGTAGCATGGGTTGGGAAAAATATATGGCCTTTTATACTAGTGAATATAAAAGCGATCGCGTGACAAAAATATAGACCAATTAGACGGATTCAGTCAAAACAAAGTGTAAACAAAAAATTTAAATCACGTTACAGAATTATAATGCAAATATGCAGAAAACTGCAACACATACAAATAATATATGAAACAAGTGTAGAACAAGGTGAGAATTTAAAGTACTGTCGGTGTCTGTTTTTCACAGGCAAAGACAGAAAGAGTCAAACATAAGAAAAACGTTCCGATTCCATGGGGGTGGGCAGTGACAAGTTTGGAAATGAGGCGAATTGCATGTCTTTTGCGTCTATCACTGCTTCCGGAAATGGGACAGAGGGTTCCAATTTTCTTATCTGATTTACTGTGATTGCCATTTGTTAATAATGTCCATTAATTTTGTTGTTATTTTTTGTATTTTTCTGTATATTTATATCAGGGAGTTTAATTAAGCTTCACGTTTCCGGGAACGGCAAACGGCAGGTTGAAACTTTCTTGGCAAAATTTTCGTTGAACGTCTTTGTTCCATATTCTCTTTCTTGCGTCGAAAGAATAATCATGTATTTCCGTTTTAAAACAGCAAGTTCATTTACTCTTTATTGCCTGATACTATAAAATATTTCTTTACCTGGCGTTTGCCATTTGACTATAACGCGAAGCTTAAACTATCTATTAATATATTCTGTAATGTGATTTACATCTTTTAAGCCTGCGGTACTGGGAGAAAATTTGTATACCGTGATTTAGTGTGTCAAACGCTTTCGACAAGTCTAGAAATGTACCAATAGAAATTTTGTTTTGATCGATTCCAGTTTCTATTTTATTTACTAAATGTGTGAGGGCATGATTATAGTTGAATGTTTGGTACGAAAACCAAACTGAAAAGAATACAAAATTTCAAATCTTTCTATAAAATTAAGCAAACGATTATACATAACCTTTTCATAAATTTTAGAGAAACTTAACAAGATCGAGATAGGTCTATAGTTCGTAAATATATCTACATCACCAGCTTTAAAAAGAGGAATTACTTTTGCCGTTTTAGGGTTATTTGGAAATATCCCTTTTTCAAGGGATATATTAATTACACGCATTAATGGTTTCGAAATAATATCAAACGGACTTTTTACAAGATGCATAGGTATATGATCACAACCAGGTGCTTTTCCACCTTTAAATGACATAGAGATAATTTTTCGCTCATGTTCAGTAGTAGGTTTAAGGAATATTGTACCACTCATATTTGGTCCAAGGAAATCTCGAAATACACAACTTGTTGGGAGAATCCTGCTTGCCAAGGATGAGCCAATGTTTGTAAAATATTTACAAAATCCATTTGCAATTTCAAGAGGGTCCGTGATCACTGTACCATTTGATTTAAATGACGATGGTAAAGATCATCATTATTTGATGGAAATGATGATTTTGATGGAAATTATTGACCAA